CAAAAGGATACCTTGGATAGAAACCTCGGACAAGTTCTGCCCAAGGATATTCCTCCAATGAGGCGTTGGATTTCTCAACCCAAAGCATCTATGTTGACAGTTCCCATTGCTTGGCTTCTCATACACGCACTTTGGAATGATCTTGTGGTAGGTGGCTCTGAGCTGTGTGGAGATTCAAATGTAAGATGAGATGAGGAATTGTTGTTTTGCAAAATGCAGTTTTCTGATTGGATTAAATCTAAATGCTTTAAAAGTACAACAAAGCCGTACAATTCAACAAGTACACTGGAAAAACCCAAGCAACCCAATCATCTGCAAAATTTCCACAGGATTTTTTTTGGAAGTGGAATCAAAATTGGAAAGGTTGGAAACATTATTCAGCTAGCCCGTCCAATGGCATTCATTTCAGAAATATCTGGGTTGAAATAGATATTCCAATTCCATGCTCTACGTTATGATGTTGCTGAAGATGTTGAAAGACAACAACATATGAATGTTTTGATGTCAACAGAGCAAATATCATTATGGACCATGCTGAAAAACACCCCAATATGACCTTACCCTATACTGGTAGAGATTCTGGGAATCATTTGAATGATAGACTAAAATTAACCAAATTCAACCTGAATGCAAAGTGACACTGAAATGACCACGTCACAGCCAAAATATCATCTTTGTAGCACTACTGATACATCAACAATTCCACCTGACAACAATGAAACTGATGACTTAAGTGGGTATGGCCTGATAGCGGTTTTGTACCATGGCTATAGCTATGGTCATACCCTAAAGAATTTTAGTGGTTTGGACATACGCTCTATATGGCGATATTCCGCACCACTATGAGTTTACATAGCGTGTCCGAGCGCCAGAATCCCCCTAGCGCACATAGCGCCAAAGATCCCATAGTGCACCATACGCCACCAAGGGTTAGGGTGTCACTGTGGTCCCAACCTGTCTCAACCCCACCCTAAGTATCTTGCTGCTCAGCAACCCACCCTTAGCTCAGCAACCCTCCGTCCCACCCATTCAATCCCCCTTTGATCAATGACCACCTTACACCTTTCGCCGATATCAATAGTTCTATACCCTTTTCTTCAATGATGCACTTACTCAGTCCCCTTTTGCTGATACCAATAGTTCAGACCTCCATCTCACGTGCTCATAACCTTTGTCCACTAACCCCAGAACTTCACCCTCCCACCTTCCACCATCACCATCACACCTCTTCCGTTTCACCACATCTAGTTCCAAGTCTGATCTCTGTCTCTTCTATCATGCCTCTTAGTCTGATCTCTGTCTCTTCTATCACACCTCTTAGTCTGATCTCTGTCTCTTCTATCACACCTCTTGTTTCACCATATCCCAATTTCAAGCAACCAAAACCGAAGTGAAAGATGCTCTTTCTTTGCAGGCGTTTAGAGCCCTCGGATTTCACCATAAGACGAACTCACCATGGTAAGTTTGCCCGTTCCCAATTGATCTTGATTTATTAGATCCTCAGGCCCCAGTTTCCTAATTGTGAATTTTTGATTAGTCCCATCCAGCTTTCCAATCTTACATAAAGATCTCTTTCACCACATCTTTCTTAACTTTTTGACCATGCCTTCTATTGCTAAGCTTTCTTATGCCAATGTCACCAATAATTCGACTCAGTCTACTCTTCAACTTGAACCTCCGGCTTCCCTCGCCCCACTATCTACCTCTTCTAGATCATTGCGTGTCCGTAGTCCTGTAAGGCCTTGTCCCGGCTATGTAATTCAGTCACCGGACTCCCGTCAAGTTCTTCAATTACCAGACGACAAATCCAATGGTTTTGTCACCAACGACGGTGGATCAGAATTGGACACTTCGCACATAGCAGTTCCGGATCCTGTTCAAATTCAAAAACGTCTTGAGAAACGAGTCCCTAAGAGTGCTAGAGGAAAGATTGGTAAAGGCAAGCGTAAGGGTTCTGGGTCTCGAAATGTTTCCAACTCATCATCATCTTGTCAAGTCAGGGTGAAGAAACGTAAATCAAACACCGTCATGCAGGTATGTAAATTGATTAAAGTCATATGTTGATCAAAACAGGATAGTTGATTCCTGTTTTGATATACATTTTCATGGGACTTTGAAGTACCTACAGGCATTGACATTAACCAAGATTCCAAAATTGAAGACATCAAGACCCCAGGAGTTTGTCGGTCTCGTCTTGGGCGTGTCTCAAAACTCTTGGAGTTTTATGAAGACCCAGTTCATGTGAAAGGGGAGGTAAGTTCCTTCTTTTGTTATTGTCTGTTTTTGGTATCAACAAAACATTACTGATGTTTTCTTTTATCCATTCAAACTACGTTACATTTTTGATTAGAGCGGCAACAATCCTTGTAGATACAAGTGTTGTTACTGCCTGCGTTTTTTCACATGAGGCAGGCGTAGCTATTATAATCTTTACACTCATTGTGATGGGGCCAAGGATTGCCCGGCATGTCCCAAACACCACCTTGCGATTAAAGAAGGTCAAGAGCTTCCTCGAAGTTGGAAACAGGAGCAAGATGATAATGTCCAAGTTTCTTCCTCAAACCCCAAAGCCAACTTAGATTCCTTCCTATCTCAATCCACTTTCAGTGTTGAGCTTCTCAACACGGTCTTGGTAATCTGGATTTCAAGGCACGCTCTCCTTTCCTGATTCAACGATCCCCCTCTCCGAGCTGCTTTCAAACTATCAAATCAATCTGCCAACATCTGAGGCACCACCTGGGCATCCGAGACGGCCAAAGGTATCTATCAAGAGCTCTCTCAAGCTGTGATCAGCAAGCTCCAAGTAAGTTCTCAACCGATTTTTTCAAAATCAAACTTTTCAATTGTTCAATACAAATTACTAACATGTAATTACTCTCTTTTGTCATTCTTAAAGTCTAATAGGGGTAAGTTTTGTCTCATTTACAATGTATGGACCATAAAGGGCCGTTGTACAGCATTTATTGGGGTGTCAGCGACGTATATCAATGACCATTGGAAGTTTTGAAAAATCCATCTAACTCTCAAATTAGTCACCTGGCACCATTCTGGCCGTCTGCTTGCACAGACTGTTGGCCGTCTGCTTGCACAGCCTGTTGGCTGTTTTTTGATTTTGAATAATCTACACCAAAAGATAAGTTTTTTTTTATCTTAATCAAAGCTAACCTTCTCTATTTGCTCTCTTACATGATAGCTCAAACAACCAATTCATGTGGTTCAAATGCAACAATGGCTCGCAAACTGTCCAGCATGTTCTTGGATGCCAACAACTTGGTGGATTGGGATTCTTCGGCCAATCAGGTGAAGTATTATACTCACAAGATTGGCCTTGTAGTGAAAGCCGGCCTGAAGTCTTTGGGAATGAGTGCAGGTCACATCAAACCCACAACTTCACCCGGTGTGACCTTACCAACACCGACCATGGTTTTGAACAACATCAATGAGGACATCACCTTTGATTTTTCCAAAGGCAAGCAAGATGACACCAATCCGGATCATGATACAGACATTCACTCACCTATAGACCGGTCTGGCAAATCTGGTGCCAAAGATAGTGATGATGAACCTGTCTCTGCTGTCGCCCGCGCGGTTTGTAAAGTAAGTACAGTGGCATCTTGATCCCTCTCAACATTTGACTATTCAACTCTCTAATATCTTCTTCATAATAGGAAAAACATTTCAACAGTCTTTGTACTAGGAGCTCTGCCAGAAGACAGGAGTTCATAGCCAAGGTCAAACAATTAGACTACAGGGGCCAATCTCCTATATCTGGATGGGGAGTGCGATGGAATGTGGACACTGATTACCTCAAAAGACTGAGTGATGGCCGTGATGTAAGTACCATCACTTCCATCCTTGTCTAACTTGTTTCTTACAATCTTTCATCTTCAATCAATGTGTAGGTTGTCAACGCCATCTTACTCAGTGACCACAAAACACAATACTATCAAGGGATTCATATATCTGCTGACGAGTGGGACTCTATTGAGAGCCTGGTTAAAATTCTCAAGTTGTTTATGTACGCTACAAAAAGAATGGAGGGTGACTTTCCTACTGGTTGCATCTTACTGGCCAAATACTCAAGAATGGTACTTGATCTCGATAATCTCATCCATTCCTGTGAGGATCCTGACCTCAAGGCAACGGTTGAGCTAATGTGTGAGAAACTCGAGTCATATCAGCAAGAAGCGGTTTCCTCTGATGTGATTGTCTTATCCACTGTGCTCAACCCTTGGTTCTGGATCCGTTTCTTCGACCTTAATTATCCTGAGGAGGCAGCTCGAGCCAAGGATCTATTCTTAGATGCTTTTGAAGGTGCTCTGGCCAAATGGTTTGATTCCAAAGCCCCTTCCAGCTCAGCTTTGACCAACAGCCAAACAACTCAAACCCCTTCCAGTTCCACCACACCGACCCCCAACTGTTCTCAAATTGATGTATTTACCACCAAAGTGATAGCTCAGTCACCTAGTGATAAACGCCGCAAGGAACAAATCAATTACATCAAAGATACTCATTCATTGTCTTTGGGTCAGTCTGAGTTAGACTGGTGTAACATAAGTCTACCTCTCCATTATCTAGGATTAAAATCTCCTATCTTACCTTTTTATTTGCTACTTACAGGAGAACGAGAAGGACTTTCCAGTCCTTGCATTGCTTGCTCATAATTATCTTGGAATTTTGGGGACCTCTTGTCCTTGCGAGAGGACTTTCTCCTCAGCTGCCAACATCACAGTCCCTGGTCGTGCCTCCTTAACGGCAAAGGCAATTTCAAGCCTTGTTGGTGTGCGCGAGTGGTTCAAGGCCAAAGTTTCACTCTCTGGGAAATTTGCTGAAGCCTATGCTTACCTTCAGGCTTACAGTACTTCTGTCACCAAGGGTAAAAAGTGATTTCTTGCTATCTTGTTTGTTTTTCCTCGTATTCACCACTGAATTAGACTACAAATAAATGACAAGTCTTGTGTGCAATCATAAAGCCTTTTAAAAATGAAGAAAATACATGACTCTTTGTGTGCGATTTTGTTTCCTTTTGCTGTGTTCTCTCCCCAATCCCCACTCTACAGCTGATTGTATAAGCTGATTATATACACATGAGTAATCAAAACATGAATTTGACTCTAAAACCCTGCTTTAACGCGCTTTTGGACGCTACCTCGTCCGAAATTTGTCCTTAGCGGAGCGCAGCGGTTTTTTAACATGCCCCGCTCTGGGAAACTCATAGTGCTCCTTAAAAAAGCGTAGCAATAGTTATCTTTGCATAGCGCAAGATCACTACACTTGGGAAAATGGCTGTTATAGCGGAGCGGAGCGGAGTGGCGGAGGCGTTGTTGCCAGATTTAACTTTTGAAGTCAAAAACTCAAAAATTGAGAGTAACTCAATTATTCTTGTGCTAGATCTGACCAATGGGAAGTAGAGTTATCAGTCTCAAAAGGGTTTTTTGGAGTTTTTGATCTCTACATCAAATCTGGCAACAACACAATGATCTAAAAATCTGCCAATAGATCTTACAACAGCTGTAGTCTATTTATATGAAACATGTTTCAGACATGTTGGTGTGCAATCAACGTTTACATCAGAGCTGATTTGTGAAAGACTAAGATTTTAATGGATAGAAGTCATCAGTGGATGAAATCAAAGATAAACACATGAATGACGTAACCCCAACAAATTTAATCAATCATTTTGATACTTATAGTAGCTTACTCTGAAAGATTGTATTGTTTCTCTTTCCTCATCTTTGGAAACAGAACGTACGTAGACCATTTCACTTTTATCATTGTTTCTTTTCCTTTCATCCTATAACACTTTAAACTAAATGTCTAATGAACAATATGTTGTAGATTTAATTTCTATTAGATCAAGAGAGCTCATAACTTGTATTATCTTACCTTGTTCTTCACATAAATCATAGGTACAAATCAATACTATTTATCTCACTATCTTCCATTAGACTTACATTGTTATTTCTTTCATCATGTTGTAGGTCAGCACCATCCTTAAAAGCAGGATTAGGGAGTTGTTTCCTTATCACTTATAGAGCACATTTTATCAGGTAATGATTCCTCATCTTTGGAAAGATAACATTTCATTTCCATTAGATCAAGAGAGCTCATAACTCGTATTATCTTATCTTGTTCTTCACACATATCTTCACAAAAATCATAGGTCAGCACCATCCTTAAGAGCAGGATTAGGTAGTTGTTTCCTTATCACTTATAGAGCGCATTTTATCAGTCATTTAGCAGCAGCAGAGCATGCCTTGAGACAGCTAGACATTTCCAAGACATGGTGTTACAATTATGATGTAAACAGAAAAGTGAAACCGGACTAGTTCCCTACTTCCTAGACCTTCCACTGGTCCAAACCAAAAAGAGGTGAGCTGTGGCTGATGGCCAAGCCATCTCACATGCCTTGCCATCCCTAGCCATAACAGTCGGGAGTATCAGAAGAGGACTAATAACTTAACGGCTAACTGCTAGCCGCTAGACATGACCATTTCCATACAAGCAGCCTAGCGCAGCTGTCACCTTTTGGACTTCTATGACAAACTTGCCACATATCTGACCAAAGGAGATATCAGAACACTGAAGGACCTTCAGACTTGGAGAACAAGGTACCTCTCTCCTTGGAAGGCCTTGAGCAAGGTGAGGTGATGTCCAACTTGAGACTTGAGTGAGGAGAATCATGTATCACTTATGTCCATTTATCATTGTTTTCACAATTAGTCTATCAAAACAAAAGCACTTGATACAATAAAACATCCAATATCCATAAAACCATTCAATGTTTCCGCGTGGGTTGATGCTCATGCATTTGAGTTATTGTTCTCAGCAAGGTACATTGGTTTCTGTTTGGCAGTCCTCTTTGCCTATTCCGGATGCACAGGAGGAGGTGGAGGTAAGAATGAATCAAATGAGAAATAAGGCAAGTCATTTGATGGTTGTGAACAGATGTTGCACGTATTCACATCTTGGATGACATAGTGTCAGACAACACGCTGGGGGGTAGATTCTACACAGCTACATAGCAGCTGCTAACGGATACATAGCAGCAATAAATTGCACAAGACTTCCAATGTTCTGGTGGTGTGTCATCCAAAATTGCAAAGCTTTTTGCCTGCATGACACGATTTTCATAAACAGCTGTAATTCAAAGAATCACGATTCAAAATTCAAAAACGCCGTGGCTAACACCAACTCTCACGACTCTTGTTGGAATGCCACCCAAAGCTTTGCTTTGAACAAAACAGAAAAGAAGTCACCCCAAAATTGTCCACAAGTGGCGCTGATTTGTACCAAAGGAAATCCAAAAGCGGTGTCCTGAACGCCCGCATATCAGGAGCACATGTGAGAAATCATATAAAGATATGTCAGAGCAAACCGGTCCATCCATCAATACCATAGGCCTTCTCCCTGACCGTTTTCTCCTGTTTTCTCTCCATCAAACCTTACTCCTCTTATATATTGTTGAAGTTGAGATTCCTCAATCGACGTTCTTCACCTTTGGCTTTGCCCAAAATGCTCCACTTCTTCAAAAGATTCACCTTTCTACTATTTTCCCTGTGGATCCACGGCCTGAAGGCCGATATTTGGCCATGTACCCAACAGCTTACCATGATCCCGCACTCGAAGGATACTGCAGGTACTTGATTTAATTTTTGTCATGCTTGTCTTATGACTCTAACATCATTTACACTCACGGCTAATGTGAACCTGTTTTGAATCGCTCACGTTTAAAGTATGTAAGGTCGAGCGGTCTGGCGTTACAAAGACGTTTCACTGCAACTATGCAAGTTGTTGGTCTGGCTGTAAGCATACTACATGCCTTTTTCACCATTGGTACAACTGATCATAATTCTGATGATAAGGGGGTCTTCGGTCTCAATATTTATGTTAGATCATCAATGGACTCCGTTGTCAAATTGTCAGCTCGTCGGTTCACCCGACAAGGGCTTTTCCGTACAACAGTGTGCCCATTATGAATATATGGGAAATGGTGTATATGGTTAGTATCCTCAGTCTTGAACCTTACCGCCCTGGCGAAGTGTCTTATTCAAATTTTGCTTTTCGCTTCCAAATGGGGCATGTTTAGCATGTTACAACCCCAAGAATGTACCCTATCTATGTCGGTGGAATGATATCAGTACTTTCATATCCATGGGTCAGTCATATTTGTCATCAATCAAAAGCTGACTTCGCTGAAGAGTAGCTGTACTTTTAGGGTGTACCGATTGCTATGTGCCATAGGGATAGATCATAGTACCCGTCAAAATTACTAGGCATCTCTCACAACGAAAAAAAATCCTCGAGAGTCAAGCAATTGGTCACCAAACGCTGACATCTTGACCTACATTAAATTATTCACTTATCTGTACCTTTTTGCTTCTCTTTTTGCCTATCTTTTTGACATTACTTTCTGGCTTTCATTTTGACCTTTTGTCACACGTCCAAAGAGTTGTGCTTTTTATCAACTATACCAAAGGCTGGCCTATGACTACCCAATCCTCAACGCCAGTGATCTCTCGTGTAATAATTATCTGAATTTTGATCATCAAAAGCAATCTCAGTGGGAGATTGAATGGAGTGCTCTCAACAGGTCAAGAAGAGAACATTTCTCTGGGGGACAAACAATAACCTAAGGCACAAACTCCACACAAGAAACATGTAGAACTGATGTAACAGAACGAGTTATGAAGTTATCAACATTTGTATCTTTTACTAAGCTTAATGGACTCAAATAGTGCTAAAAAGAGTGATGTGATCAATAGGACAGATGTATAGCTAATGTTGATTTTTTAGTCTGTAAGGAAACTTTGAAGGATGGAATAATGGACGAGAGAGGGGTCGAAAGTGACCAAGTGTCTACCTGGATGCTTACTTTATACATTTCACTTGTTCTCGAACCTCGGAGCTACTGCAAAGAGTGACGTAGGATTATTAGATCTCTTTGCGTCTCTTCCCAGTCTGCAATCTCAAATTGACTGATAGGGAAGTCTGCTCTTGGGAGTCCTTGCCACATGGAGTGTTAACCTAACTCTCGATTTCTCGAGGCACGCCTTTGTGAACTTGCTCCACATCTCGTGCCTCATGTAAAGTCGAATGCTTCCTTGCTATTTGGGATACTTTGATCTGATGATCTTTGGCCACTTGTGTTAGCTTAAAAACCTAGCTCTACATATGCAGTACAGTTGCACTTCCATCTATAGAATGTCAGTGTATTCCCCTGCTGTAGATAACAGATTGAAAATGCTGAACACTTGCAGACCAAATTTCTTACCAAGACAATTCATGAATCTGATATCACAAATTACCAGAGTAAGTATATTAAATCACTGTAACTCTCGTTTAACCTTCAGAGATAAATTGCTTGATTAAAAATCATCAAGCATTGTGGCTCTATGGCTCTCAAGTCATGCAGAATTCAAGGTAAATATACTATTCAATACTTCAATACTGCTTCAAACGTTAAAAACAAACATGATCATATAACAAGATTTAATAGTAAGCCAGAAAAAACAAGTAATTATCATAACTATATCTTGGTAATTCTTTTATTCAAGTAATCTAGAAACAATCTAGACACAATTTTCAAACAGATTTCTTTATCCTTGAATACGTAAATCGTTATTTATAAATTGATCATTTTGAAGATTCATCTTTCTGCAATGTCCAAGTACAAGATTAGCAAATGTACCTAATCTACGTAATTCAGGTGGAGAAGTAAGTTGACCAGCTCTTGTAACAGGAGAAGGACATAACATGCTTTCCATAGTAGGCGAAGCTAAAGTAGGAACACCTCTTGGAATCCCTTCAAGTTCCAAAGTAGTTTCATTATTACTAGAAATAAGATCGGTTGATGAATTGCTTCCTAAATCTAAAGCTGCTAATGCATCTGTAAGTAATGGGATCGATGCTTCTCCTATTGATGGTATTTGATCTGGACGGCATTGAGAAGTGTGTTTGTACATTGCGATTAACCACGATTCGGGATCGGGTGCGGTCCAAGCTTCTTCGTGACATGGTAATGGGATATTCGCATCTTGAATATTTAGTCCAGGCGTTTCGGAAAGTTGGTACGCTGACATAAGAACCAAAAAGACCGTTCTGAAAGACAGCAAGCAATCTTCAATCAGAACTATGTTGAGTATCACTAGATAAACCGTGTTCCAGTCAACTGACCGTTTGTGAGTTTCGTACTTTGCCCAGCTACGCCAAGCAAGCTCGAGAGGCATGTGGCCTTCAAGCACAAGTTTCACATAATCAGGTGCTTCTTGAACGATTCGAGTAAGAGCAAGATTTTTGAAATTCTACAGAAGAGAGTATTCATATATGTCAATAAGAACTCAAGTAGTGATGAGAAGAAATCGGAGTTCAAACTTACTTCGACTAAGGTATCATTGAACAATACAGCTCTTTGTCGTTGATGATCAAGTCTATTAAAGATGCCTAGGAATTGATAAGTCAAAAGCGTTTGGAGGAGCTCGAATCTAAAGTCAAACGGGTTGGATTCCAAAATCTATAGAAAGCACTTGGTTAGATTCAAGCTGCAAGTCCCGTGTTAATGTATCAAGTTAGAAAATATGGGGGACGTACAAAATCTCTTTGTACTAGAGGTCTTTTGTACAACAGCGATTGATTTGCAAATGCGATAGCATGTTCAGAGCTATCAGTAGCTGCACCAGCGACCGTGAGCGCATATCCAAGGTGGATTGACATGATCCTATAGAAAGCAAGACGGATGACGTCAACAAAGCAAAGAGTATCAAACTTTATCATTGAAAATTCCGAAACTCACGATGCTTTGAATGTCGGGACATGAATCATCGGAATCAATGGAAGCATATCATACGTAGCCTTCCGGAGGTACTTCGATAACGTTCCTACTGTTGGAATCGTAAACCCTTGGCCCTCTTCAAAGAACCGTCATCAGCTTTCAATTTAATCATTGGACCCAATAACAGAGATGGCAAGAGAAGGCGAACTTTGGCACATAAATGCAATCGTCCAGAGGGATGGATTTAGGTAATACTTGCTCGATTTCTCCTCCTCAGTGATGAAGAATTGTGGATCAGAGTATCGGACTACGTAACTATCCGGGTGTCCTATCTCTGAAACGCTAGAGGGAGTATGTTCTTCCTTGTCTTGATAGGTTTCAGAGGAGATGATCTGATGATTGAATTCTGACTGCGACTGGTCATCAGTTGATGTGCTGGAAGACTGATTGACCGATGGTAAAGTGTTGGATTCGTTTAGTTGGGTCGAAAATTCAAATTTGTCTTGTGACGAAAAACGATGATCGTCACCGGGGAGTTTGGCTGAAGGCATAGGTAACTGGCCCCATGCATCATACCGAGCTGGCAAAGGATTGTATCCAATAGCTTGACCGTAGGACGGTGGTAAGGCCCCTCCGTACATGTCATCATTGAATGACTCTGGTTGACCAGAAACCTCGAAGCTCGAATGTGGGCCAGGAGGGATTTGGATAGGTAAATTGGAAGGCTGCTGGGAGACTGAGATTGGATTTGTGGCTTGACTGGTAGCCTGTGGACACTTTCGCTTGTGACGACACAATAGATCACTTCTTGCGTAACTCACACCACAAGGACAACTCCAGGGTCTCAAGCCAAGATGTTTGAGACGACGATGTCGATTGACGTACTCGAGCTTGATAATGGTCAAGGTTCAATGGTAGCGAAGATGGAACGGAAATGTGGAGGAGTCAATATTTGAAAAGTACAAGAGCATTTATCTAAACACAGACAAGACAGCGGAGAGGAAAAAAAGATCCAGAATCCCATATAGACTCATACCATCTCCATGAGATTTGAGGCAGGGAACAATACTCACACGTGTGAATGTTTTAGAGCATCTGTCATATTTGAAAAGACACAGAGATCATGCGGTCAGTTCAACAGCAAAGGAAGACGAACAAAAACGATTGGGCAGGTTATGTGGACTTATGTGGATCAACCGTTTGAGCAGGAGTCAGAATCTGTACTTACTCAGGGCATGCATGAACACCTGTTTTATGAACCATATCGAGGATGAAGGAAGATAATTGTTTAATTGAAGCTTAGTCTATCGAAGGGAGAGTGTAAAAGTGGAGGCGATGGAGGAATTGATAGGCTGGATGGATTGGATTGACAAATGTGGATAATGATAAATGATCAGAGAGATATAGGTATCGGGGTAGAAATGGCAGCGCAAGGTGAAGTATGTCAGTGTCTAAGCTTGTGTCTATGTGTTGGGGAAAGTGAAGGGACAGACGGGGGACACCAAGGCTAGAGAAGGAATAAATGAGAATCAGACTGAAAGAGATGAGTAAAAAAGCGGTCTAAAAATTATAGTTTAGCAAGGGTGAATCTGATCTAAAAACAATTAAATTTGAACCGAAATTGAGAAAATTCAAGTTCAAATCAATCAATTCAACGATCGAGAACTTTGTACATACATCTTCAGACTTCAAGCAAGCAAGCAAAGCCAAAGCCATATCGATCGTCGCACTTTTGACAGCCACAGCGCGAGGTGTAAATGATTTGAACTATGCAACATATACATGCCGCATTCTCAAAATATCTGTCAATCACAAATCGAATATGGAAGGCGTTAACCATGCTGTGAGTCCGTATGACCTTACCTCTCTCTCCACATACTTATAGACCATTGCATTCTGGTCTACATATCCTATGGTTTGCAAAGTAGGGGACATCCAGCTTGAAAATAGTACTGTCATTAATACAACCAGACTTTACAATCAGGGGTGATTTCTGACCCTGAATGGCTTTCTAGTCGGAACGCCCGATTGTATGATCGATTTCTTCAAATATCAAAGGACCCGTTCGGCAGCTCTGGGCAAAAAGTGTTACACAAAAATGCTTTTTCGATCAAAAAGGGGCAAATTGAAAAAGCTGAAAGTTGGTTATACGTACGGAAGCCGTGACGTGAAGTGACCGCCACCGGTTTTTCAAAACTTCGGTTTTCTGTTTTCGGTTTTTGCTTTTTGGAATTTGGGCATTTCCTTCAATTTTCGATACACACCACGGGCTACCATCACCGAGAACACCAACTGACACCATCACCACCACCAAGGGAGAAGAAGAATTTTGAAAAGCAACCATGCCTCCCTCTCAATTTACAGTGAGTCGGTCAAATTGCTCGACCGATTCAACTCTTGTGCCTTCAAATATCCAGACTTTGACTCAATATTGAATCAAACCACATCTCAAATCTTATCAACTTCAATCGTATCAATCGATACCAAAGTATTGTAGTTCAAATTAAACTAATAGATCCTACTACACATCACAGTCGAATTGGGGAGCTCTTATCTCAACACCTGTTGTGTTAACCTTTTAAATTTCTTCGTCAACTTCATATCGAACCACTAATGTTTAAACTACCCATCGCATCAAAAAGATCCATCGGCTTGCTCTTATCTCAACAAAAAATTGATCCACTCGATCCTACTACACATCACAACTAACTCTGAAAGCTCTTATCCAACACTCATTGTGTTCACCTTTGAAGTTTCTTCTTTAACTTCTTATCGATCCATTAATTCTTACACTAACTACACATCAAGATGCTGAATTGGCTGGCCCTCATCTGAACAAAAAATTTACATAAGTATCTTTGAATTGCAAAGAGTATAATCACAAATCATGGTGATTACAATCTGGAACCTGATCATTTCACAGTTTGTATCACTTACTTATTGATAGTTTTACACAACTTACGACATTTCAATCATGAGGCTGTTTTAAAAAATGTATGCCAGGTATTTTTGATTATTCTGAGTTCTCAAACAATTGAGGTTGATCTTGACAATCACCTCCTCAAAATTCAACCTATTTGGAAAACCAACAGTTTCTTTGATCAGAAAGGTTGTTGATTGATTGAGGGGTAAGGTGATTTGTGACTGTAAATAATACCAAGTTGATTACAAGTTTATTGACTGTAAATGATACCAAGTTGATTGAGTGAGTGATAATTAAAACAAGTCTGGACTTTGATAAAAGATACTTGAGCTGGGTGGTGGTGGTGATAGCTAGATTGGTGAAAAGACAAGTGTGAAAAAATAGCTCGGTGGTGGTTGGTGATGTTGGTAGCTAGCTGGTGGTGAAAAGACAGATGTGGACAAAAATGCTCGGTGGTGGGTGCTGAGTGAAAATACGAGTGTGGAATAAACCCTTGGTGGTGGTGATGGTGTCAGTTGGTGTTCTCGGTGATGGTAGCCCGTGGTGTGTATCGAAAATTGAAGGAAATGCCCAAATTCCAAAAACCAAAAACCGAAAACCGAAAACCAAAGTTTTGAAAAACCGGTGGCGGTCACTTCACGTCACGGCTTCCGTATATACGCCTTACCAAACAGTCAACCAAAGAGGTCAACTAAAATTCTATTGACCTCTTGTTGACCGGTTCACTGTCTGGTAAAGCGTATATGAAGATTGTATAACAATTGAAATTTGAAATTTGAAAAGGGAAGGATTTTACTCAAATTGGCCCCCCCTTCGAGGCCCCGTTTGGTATAGCTTTCAGCTTTTACAAATACATTAGAAATTAATAGATTACTAGAGCTTCGGGGGCGGCCCGCCGCCCTTTCGGTCCTCCCAACGTCCCGTTGTGCATCAATTGCTCAATGGCGATTCGTAGTTTCGCAATCCAACGCATACATAGTCAAGATACCCATTCCGTCAATTTCCAGCACCGAATGACAATTTACAATACATTGCACATTGATCTCTGCCTAAACGTTGACACTTCAATGCTTATTCATCGCCATATAAAGTCTAGTCCCGTATCCAAGCAGACGACTACATGAGACATTGCTTTCGCAGATCAACGTATTACTCCTCGGCTAGGCCCACAGAGTACCCACATGACGTGCGGCGCGCCTCGCGATTGATACTCGACGGTCTTAAAGTACAACTTCCCTCCTATAACCATTGTTTCGCGAATGCGCCCGAGCTCATTGTTCACGGGCATGCTCCGTATTCCCATTTTCCCACCTCTCGCATTGATTATGTTCGACGTCAAGGACATATGACTGACTTAACGACACCATTAGTACCATTGTTCGATGCGCTGCTCATTCACATTGAAATATGTAAAACTTACAACAATGATTCCAATTGTCGATTGCTAAAAAATCTTGTATTTTTGCGCCGGATCTACTTTTTTGACGTCTACGATATTTCGATGCTGTAATACTGCCACACGTTAGCCCTATCCACCAAAGTTTCGCCTCCCTAAAGTTTTCACTTACCCAGGTGTCAATTGACGCTCCGCTATTGTTGACAGTGTTGATTCGAAATTAGAAGTCTTTTTGATCAGCAGAAAGTGTCTGCCTTTCGAATTACTGTACCGTTGTCATCGGGCGCCGACGTCATCTTCGTGTCTCTCGGCTAACTTTGAAGCCTGATTAGCGGTTCTGCACGCTACGGCCGCCCCACTCTCATAGTGCGCTGACGGCGGCGTTCTGATTAGCTGTCATCTCAAGGACTGCCATGTGCACCACTCACAGCCGCAGCACACGTCATCACACAATCTTCACTTCACAGCCTCTCCCACAGCGTTCTCACGGATCTCAGCGTCGCTCATTTGCTACACTCGGTATTGCAAACTACTCATTTCATTGCACGTATAATTACTATCACTATCGCAGCCCTGCCATCTGGCTCCCTTGCCACCGCCATTATGCTATACACGCTCCTCGTACAACACCGCTCCGAACTAACGAAACATTGGTAACCTGCGTCGGATGTTAGCTCACCATCCCAGTAGGAGCGATTCCGCACTCACCATGATGATCCAGCCTCCGTGCCAATCCGACCAACTGCTTCCCTGTCCGGTCAACTGCACCACATTGTCCTTAGCAATCAGCGCCGCTTTGTCCTCGCCCAACGCCTCTAGATCGTATACGTATTCCGCTGTGAAATCCACCCATGTCAACGCCTGCACTCGTCCGTCAGCAAACTCGTAAACATTCAATACAACTGTTTGACACATACCGTCATATCCCACTGGCGGTGCTGAAGACGTGCTACGCTGAAACCCTCTTCCCCACTCGTCGCTTTTACTTCTTTGGTCGAAATCACCGTTCCTTTGCCGATAAAGGTGATCACCCCAATACGGTCAACGGGTTCAAGACGCTGTTCGTTGATCGCAACCACTGAGTCGCGGTGCAGAAACAATCTCTGCTGCGCTGTGAAATTGTCCATGACAATCTCGCCATCAAGCTTGTAGTACTGCGACAACTTTAACATCTTTTCACCGCTCTCGTCTATGATTGCAAATGGAATATGAGTGATCAACCCCCCCTCAACGATTGCTTCTGATCGATACCCTACGCGGATCTGGTCCCTCCTGCGAAATCCAATAATCTACACACAATATCAGCGCTGGTGATGAACCCGAAGTGGTATAGATTGCTTACCTCGTCACTCAATTTGAAAATTCCTGTGCAGCGTAAAGGCATTTGTTCGTATCGTCTTATCCCTTCCAAAATTGTCATGGTTGGCGCAAATTATGCTCGTGTCGAAATCAGTTGTATTTGTTTTGTCTGCTTATTGGGATTAAAGTGCTTCAATGTTCTATGTTGTTTGATAGCTTTTTTATATTTATTTCGTAATCCATCGTGCATTCGTTGCAGCCATTTTCCATAGGAGATGATCTCTATGATCCGTATTCCAGCGGCCTGCATTGCCGCGAACTGCCCGGCCATCAGCCATCCGCCACATGCGACACACGGCGAGCAACTGACTGCCATTGACATCAATCACTGAGTGCTGCGATTTGCTTCTTGGCTCAAAGCATTGGTTGGGGCTCGTCGATTTTGAGTCATCCCACCATCTGCCGTTTTGGCCCGTCAATCATTGCCATCTCGTATTTTGCGGCAAATAACAGACGTCATTCATTCATTGCGTCGCGATCACAATGTATACTCAGGCACAGATAGCTTGCGACCGGCAGTTTGACAACACTGTGCATTTTATTTGCCTACAAACACAAAACAGCGATACGGTAATTACAATAACACTTCATGGAATACGATATTTTTAGTCTCTGCATTTTTGATGTCCTTTGACATGCAGACCATAATTTTATCAGCGCGTGTGCATCTCGACAGCGCGACATAGAGTTGTCCTTGGGAAAACACTGGACTTGGTAAAAAAACCACAACGTTATTGACACTTTGCCCTTGTGACTTGTTGACAGTCATGCAAAAAGCTGGAGCAATCGGGTATTGGAACCTATAGAAAGGGAGTGGGCACGATGACCCTCCTGTATGGTGCAAATTGATCCTTGGCAAGGTCACTAAGTCGCCCACTCGGCTTCCCGTTATAATCCGACATGATAGTATTCTTCGCCCGACGTGGGTAACGACCATTCTCGTTCCATTACATAGGCCTCGTTTCATGTTCAGGTTGCGCAGTAATATGATTGGCATACCGGCTTTCAACCTCAAAGAATGCACCGGAAAATTTGGCACTATAAAGCTATTCAGCATTTCGGGTGATAAAGGTTCGCACGTCGTAGCATCGTCATTAGAATCGATGGAGTCGGAGTAAAATACTTCACCTCTCAAGTGATCCATGACTTTGTCATTGACGTTCGCTACGTATTTGTTTAAAGGTGTGATGATGCATCGCTCCCCGTAGTACGTCCCGAGGTCAGCCCATCGTCCCTCTTCAATCAAAGAATTCGCTTCACTGTACAAACTTAATGCCACTTCTTCATCGTAGGTTTTTGTTGATGGGACTGTTTTGTGCGCAATATGTTGAAGCGTAATATCTTCTTCGGTCTCAGATTGTAATTCTCCTGAACCTACTTGTAACAACCATTGTCCATACTCAATGTTGCGATTCGCGACGTCGGAGGTTACGTTCGCACTGGTTAGACGAACGTTGAGAGTCAAACGGTGCCGTTTCAAAGTGTTCCATAGATAGGAACATCGCAAAGAAGCTTCCGCCTGGGCGCCGATTGTGCCTCTAGGAACTACCGGCAGTGTTTGCCGAAAGTCGCCCGAGAAGAGGACCATTATACCACCAAAGGCAGTGTCTGTACCTCGAAGCTCGCGTAGAGCGCGGTCGACACAGTGGATGTCCGCTTTATTTTGCATCGAAATTTCATCCCAGACTATCAGTCTCAGCGAGGTGAGTCGTTTACTCAACGCGTCCCGACCTGACAGCTTGCATCTTGAATTGTCGTCCGCATTGATAGGTATTTTGAAGCACGAATGTGCGGTTATACCTTTGAGTAGAATAAGAGCCACTATACCCGAAGAGGCGACGGCTGCAACTTCGTGTCCCAACGCGTTACAATAGTGCAAAATGGCATTTAACAAAAACGTCTTTCCAGTCCCCCCCGGTCCATCCAAGAAGTGCAAGGTAGCGCTTTGTGTAGCGATGTCGTGTTTGATTTTTCGAAAGATTTCAAGTTGGTCGTTGTTCATCAAATCGAGGGAACCTTCCAATATTGTTTCACTTTCTTCGGCAGTAACTTCGTCTTCTTCGTCCAGGTCTATCAACGCCGAGTATGACCTTAAAATGAATTTATTCGGTTGGGGCAGCCCTGCTCCCAGTAACGTCATGCTTACTTCCTCCAGCGCAACAGCCATTCGACAAAGCCCTAACGCCGTAACCATTTCTTCGGTCGGAAGCTCCATTGGATGGTATTGCAACATTGCATATTTGCAATCGTCACATAGATACACGGCAAATTGATTCCAAATTTTAAGTGGATCGGCCGGCGGTCCGAACTTTAGGATGATTGCAAACATCGCTCGGAGTTGATACGCACTGTGCACTCTGGCGCATTCGTCCATCGCTGCAATGTAGTGGTCGTCGTTTAAGAGTAAACCTTGCGCCACAGCGGCCAAATTGTACGTTGGGTGGATGACTCCATCGACAGTTCGCAAATCGTCAAATGATGTCGGTCCTTTTACGTGCATAAGCAGCAACCGCATGAAGTATTGCTCCCCCTGGCCGAGGCTGGCGTAGTAAACACGTGGGATGGTTTTCGAACTTTGGACGCGAAGTTTCCAACGCTTCTGATCCTTGTCCCACGAAAAATTGTCGACAATTTCAGGGTACGTCAACGTTTTGACACTTTCCTTGCCTCCTTTGATCTTTGCGTCCCGTTTGCATAACACGAAGAACTCTGTCAGCGTTGTTCTTGCTGCTTTGCCTGACGCCATTTGGTTTTTCAGCGACCACTTGTTTTTGAAGTACACGGTATTCTCGCGAGGCAAATGGACTGCCAATTTTTGCACTGCTGGGAAGCGCGATGACATCCAAAATTCAAACAGCCTCCAGCACGCTGTCGGAGTTAATCATACAAATGAGCAATCTTGCTCGATTCACGAATGTTCAACCTGGCACTAACCTTCTGTGCCAGTCAGCGTTCGACCATCCACATAGGTATCGATTTCGTTCTCGGCGGTTATTGACAAAGCGGCACGGTCGTGCCCCTTGGTAATGTACTTATATAGATATTTCAAGGACTGCATGCTTGATGCCACTTCAACATTTATGTGACAGTTGAATCGCAACAGCAGGTACGGATTATAAGGCGCGACATCGCGATTAGTGTAAGTGTACCCCGCCTTAACAAAGGTTCGTCCATTGTTGCGTCGACGATAATTGGGGTAGGTGTCATCTGTCATTGTCGTTTCTTCAGCGTACTCTTTTGGAAAACCAAACCGGCATTTTCCGTTGCGCCAACAGCTCCCATCGACCTTGCACGGTCCATGCAACATCGATTTTGTGACAATGGCCCACAAATCGGGTTCGGCGTCGCGGTCCGGGATTTCTGCTTGTACAACCAAGTCAACTGCATCCGGAGTTCGTGGGCATGAGGCAGGTTCCATGATTGGAATGAAGTGAACGTGAGGGCGACCTCGACCCTGAAATTCAATTGTTCGGACGTGTGAAAGACAGGTGCCAAGCCGGCCATCTTTAGTGACACATCGCATCATCGCCTTCATTTTCAATTGGAAGACCCGTGTCATGATGTCGGGGCGATCCATCGCGGTCTGCCCAAACGCCAATTGAGATTGAATTTCGGACCAGTTGTCATTTGCCGTCATTGTGATGAAATATGACGGTTGGCCAAAGTGGCGGACCAGCGCCATTGCGTCATGATAAAGTTGTACCATATTTCGGGCTCCCCCAATGTGTCCAGCTGGTAGAATAACACGCCTTCCAATCTTAACATCGTTCCTGCCAAGAGATTCTTTGGCTCCAGAGTAGAGCTCGGCGTAGAGTACATCCTGATTCAGCCTAAACCAACGGAGTCTTTGATTCTCGACGCACGCATACAAATCGATAGAGAACTCTTGTAGTAGCATTCTTGAGGCGAGTATAGGCGAAAACTCATCTCCGCGCTGGAAGAGAAGATATGCAAACCATTGCAAAGAAGTAACAGTATCTCCGTCGTCTGTCATTGCCAATTCAGCGTCAGCAGCGTGTAAAAACAATTGCATTATTCAACTCACTATTCGGCGTAGGTACTCGGTAGTACTCGTCGTAGCCAACCTGTCCCCAGGGGAACAGCACCGGATAACGTAAAGGCAGATAACCTGTGTGCCGCTCAGAGACTCTTTCCCAGGTGCCATTTTCACTATGAAGTATAAGGTCGCGATCTCTCTCGCCAACGTCGCCACCACCGGCGACAATCATAGCTACCTCTTCAGTTGTAGGCCGACAATAGGTACGTAGATCGTGACCTTCAGCGCCGGCCGCGGTCGGCGGAATAGATTTCAATTTCAGAGAGATCGATTTCGTTGGTGATTCTTGAAGTATTTGCTCTGCCATTTTGAATTGCCTTGCGTAAGGGTTGTAATCATACATGAATTCTTGAATTTTGGCGATGATATCCTCTTCGAGGTCCTTCGACCGAGACATGGACTTTTGGTGTGCAGCCTCGTTCTCGAGCTGATTACTCAGCACGTAAATTTGTGCAAAGGCTGGGTCACTTCCGGGCCTTGGTAACATAAGACCCATGTCGTGATATAATGCACCCTGGATTTTGAAACATCGCACCCCGTCGGGTCCGTCAACTGTGTGATTGACTTCGGCACCAAGAGATGTGAAAGATAAACAGTTGTTATAGGCTCGAATATTCTGTTGAAAATTCTTGCTGCCTATTGACAGGAAAGGCATAAATTAATACGATTCACACCAATCACAAACGCTGTTTACTTACGTGCATCGTCGCCAGTATACAATTTTTGTAAAAACTCGGGAACAGGCGGAAAATTGAAATAGTGTTCTGGCAGAAGAACTTTCCCACTTTGGCAACACGTAGGATATGTGGAGGGACCAATGTTTGCCGTATCCTGAGTCCTCTCCTTGGTCCAATGCAATGCGTCGCACGTTGAACATACGTCGTTACAATCACCGAGTCTATGCGGGATTTCATTTCAAAATCGTAACAGAATAGAGTTCTCGTTATTCTCCCATTGGGCTCGGACTGCGAGTTGTGGCATTGAGATAAGACAGTCTCGGCGTTGAGAAGATGACAGATATTCCAAAGGTTAAGAAACATTGTTGACCCAAAAGCGCTGATGTCATTACGGGTAGCTATCGTGCGGGGCTGAAACGTTCGGTACATGTGTCTCTCTTTACAATTTCTCTACGCAAACTTCCTATTCAGCTGGTTTGGGTCCTCTTCTACACTAATGGCATACTACCGATGCCGTGCAGAAGATCCGCGTGCGATGAGTAGTGAGCAAGCGAGTTATCGCAAAGCGCGAGGCAAATTCAATAATGATGGATGAAGAACACGATAATGATAATTGCAACGGATGAGAAGTCAGTTAGAGAGGGGGAGAGGAAAACATTAGGCTTTAAATGAGAATGGATGACACAATACAACAGATTCGCAATAGCGGCATACAATCATTGTAGCATATGTTGAGCAGAGGATCGCTTCAGACAATTTGATCTTTACGGAGGCTCATGAAATGGGCAAATAAGCTTAACGCATAAAACATCAGCCACAGCAACGTTTCAACGGAGAGGAATGGTCAGCGGTCTCGGTGATGGATGCATTCTCGTCTTTTTCTTCCTGGAGAACGGTTCCGTCAGTCGCAGCGCCTTGGCTAGAAGTTTGTGCATCGCCTGGCGGCCCGTCGAGACTAACCGCCGATGTACTGGCGACGGTGCTAGCTTTGTTTCGTCGTCTATAGCATTAAATTAGTAAGCAGGATGTCAATGCACGAAAACGGGAAAACGTACAAAGTTAATGGGACTCGGCCGCCTTTGGGCGTTCCAGGTTTGTTGATGATCTTATCGGCTAGGCTGGGAGCATCGCCTGTGCATCGACTGATGGCCGACACCTAAACAGTACTGTCAGTGAAAGGAAACGGGTCGTGATTGCATTTGCACGTACTTCGGGTTCCCACATGAAGTTGACCCCATCATAGTCTTTGATTGCACCTACCAACTGCACTTCTCGACCAACTTGGCAAATGTTTTGTGCTTTTTCCATGTTGCGAACTGGAGGAATGTGGTGCTTGGTATACCAAGTCACAGGGATCTTTGTCTGCGAAACAGAGTGCAATCAATATTATAATTGACTGCGCGGAAGAACTGCATTTGCTTACCAAAGGATCATAGTCTTGGGATTGTAGAGTGATTACGACGGTGGATTTGCCTTTGTAGGCTGGATCTTTGACAGTCTCGCGCGCAGTCACATAACCCAACGCAATCATAACAGTCTTGTCCATGAGATCCTCAGCAAAATCCTCTGAAAACTTCGCAACTTCCCCAAGGTCAATGCGAGAAGAGTTCTCGAAGTGAAGGTGGTCGTCAACGTCATTATTAGTTCCAATCAATTTGCAAGTCATTGAGTAGACGCAATTGGGTTTAACAGCGTCAGTAGTCGTGCCATAGGAAGTTAAACGAATAGGATTGGCGAATGGTGACCCTCCGTTCATGCCGGAGGTCGCAATTGATGCGTGAGAAGAGACGAAGCCCTTAGAATTAATCAAAAGAGATGCAGCCTGGAAAATTGAGATGAGTAAAATTGGATAAGCAACAGCACGTGTACCCAGCATAGCGGAAACGACAGTACCTCGACACCGGCTTGGCCAAAGAAGTTTACTCGAACAGGGTGTGAAGTAGAGTTAGCGCTTGCATTTGCATTGGCAACCATGTCGTTAGGATTCGGTATTGAAGTAATGGCCGGATAAGTGGAACGGAATGAAAGGTCTACGGATTGGATTGAGCGACAGATAATAAGGTGCAGTGAGAATGATAGTGGGGTATGAGTTGCAGTGTTGGTATAATAGATAGTAATGTAGAGAGTGAGGAGAGGATTGAACATGTTTGCCATTGGACTTCGGAGTCTTATATAGACAGGGTTCGTGACACCATGTTCCGTAGATTGAGATGCAAATTACACGCATGAGAAACGCAGAGCAATGGGCTGGCTGACGAAGAAATGGCGTTGGTCCTGGTCACGACTATGAAATCGCAACGCCGGCGTATTGGAACGTCTGGACCTGCCTACACCGTGCACTACCAAATTGCGTTTGACCGAATAGGTTTTTGACTGCGCATGACGGCAGCATGCGTATCTCGCCCTCACAATGATTGGGCAGGCAATGAGAAGAGGAGCAGCAGCGGGCGTGGACGAATTGAGGAAGTGTCGAGTCCGGTGGAAGCGCAGCAGTAACTCAGTAAGCATCGCGTCGCAGCGACATATAATTGCAGACAACAACAACGGAAGAACGGCCGGGCCTAGACCAGCCAGAAGCGTCGTCCCTCGTTTCAACGGGTCTAATCAGTTCGTAAACTCAGTCGGTAGAGACACCAGCGGCATCGACTTTTTTTCGTATCCAACACCAACTCCTCTTTATGTATGATGCAGTGTATAATCTATTATTTTATGAAGCCAATTTTCAGATCTGAAATTCAATTTTCAAAGCA